ACTCAAACTTTTCTTTTAAAAATTAAGATAAAATGCAATTTAAACCAATAGTTGAATTATTTCTATGTGACATGGATTATGAATCATTTTAGAGATAGAGTGAAACAGTAGTGGAAACATTAAACATTACCTGTAATGGGACTGGGGCTATAGCTCAGTGGTTGAATGTTTGCCTAGCATTCTTGATACCCCAGGTTTGATCTTTAACACTCCTGCCTACCCTCACCCTCAAGAAAAATAAAAGAAAAAGAAAACTTACCAGTTATATACTAGTAAGGAAGGACAAGTTTTATAATTTAAGTATTTAGTGTATATACACATGTGTAGTATAAGATTACCTCTGGAATTTAAAAGCCCCTGAATAAAATAAAATTTTCTCGGCCTTTTATATCTAATCTTTAGAGCAGCTGTATGTAGAAAAGACTGAATTCTGTGAATTAACTGAGATTTCTGCTTAGTGAGCTTTTGTAGTTGTTGCTGGTTTTGTTACCAAAATTTTGGAAATATTAAACTGCTCAGCTACTTAACTGAAAGGATCTTTTTTCTTTTTAAAATGAAAACATTTTAATTATCTGTATAGCTGTGATACTGAAAACTGTTCATCTCCAAAATGCTCCAGATGAAGTTTTACAATTAGTGAAGATTCCCAAGAGAAGAATTGCCATTCTACCCCATATTCTTGGTCCTGACCTTCTTCTAGTCATGATAGGACTTTCTGTGCTGCAAACTTGGATGCCTGGATCCTGCATCTGTTTTCTGTTATGCGCAGAGCTGAAATATGGCACTGATATTTTAATACTTGGTAGATTCTGTGTTCGGCCTCCACCAGATGTGTTTGAAATTACTCCGTGAAGGACTGAGAAGTGATTGGAGACAGAGAGGTGTTATTGGCCCTAGGTTAGCTCTCAAATACAGCTTTCTTCTTGGGAAATTCCAAATTATTAACACTCCTTTCATTTGAACCATATTTATGTGAGTTTTAGTATATCTAGAACTTTTTTCAGTGAATCTGAGTTACAGACACATTTAATTTCTACTTTTGTTGTTGGTGGGGTTTTTAAGATCTTTGTTTTTATTACTGAGTATCTACTGTATGCCAGCTCCTATGGATGTGCGACCCCTTATCAGAGCTGAGGAGCAGACATCAGTGCCCTCCCCACTCCCTCCAACCCCCCTCACACACACACATACAAACACACCCGCTTGCTCTGTCACTCAGCTTCAGGTGGACCATGGGGCCAGGAGAAGAGGTCATGTGGCACAGAGAGCTCTTTTCGGAGGCAGCCAAGGACTAGTAACAGTATACCTGGGTTTATCATTTGCAACCTTTGTGACCCTGGAAAAGCCCCCAAGGATCCAGTCTCCCTGGGTTCCTTATCTGTCACTAGGAGAGAGAAGCTGTCCCTTCATAGGCTTGTTCCCTGGCTTACATGCGTGGTATAAATGAGAACCCCTGGTACCATGTCTCACCAGGTTGGTAGCTAGTAAATGATACCTAAATCTGGATGATGAAATGGGCCTTTTTGGTGAGGTTTTGGTAAAGAGAAAGAAAAAACAAACAAACATTGTGAACCTTGTAGCTCTGACCTTGGCCCCACATTGCTGGAAGTGGAGACGTATTTCTTTCTGATTCTCTGTAATGGTTTACAGCTTAGGTAGGCCTTGGAGAACAGCAGGCTAGACCAGGTCCAAGTTTTGGTTGCCCGACAGATATACTGGCTGTGGGCTCCTGGGCAAGTTGATTGACCTGCGTGATCGCAGCTCCTCATTGTATACAAGTGAGGTGATAGTTACACATAGTGGGGTTGCTGTGGGGATTAAATGAGGTCACGTAATGCTGATATTTAAGAAGGAAATAATACCCCACAAAGAAGCTCAGAATGGCGAATAACTGCTTTTGTGATTTTATTATTATTTTTTTTCCTTTGTGACCCTAGTATACAGACAGGAGGATGCTTTTGTAGAAGGCTTTCTTTATCTAGAGACACAAATAAGAGTCCTGTGTTTTTCTGATATGTCTAGGTATTAGGAATAGAATAATGGTCAACTCAATAAAGAAAATTTTATTTAGTAGAAATAGAATTTCCAGACAATTAGGTTAATTGTTCATATTATGCAGTCGAGTTGGGTACATTTTAAAGCATTATTCTGTTCTTTCCGTTCCCCTATTTCATACTTCAAATGATTCTTGTTCATTTTTTAAATACTATTCATATCCCTTCTAGGTAAACCCATCGAACCACAGACTCCTGTTTGAAGTATTTGATGAAAACAGATTGGTGAGTGAATCCTTCATTTTGAATTTTGCTTCATTTCTTAGAAACTGAATTTTCAGACTAGTATCTTTCAAACTCTGACTTTTGCTTGTACCTACAACAATATACTATATGCTCAAAGAGAAGATTATTTTGTCCTACTACTTTGCGTTGCTCAGACAGAAACTTATTTGAATATGTGTGTATTTTTGTCACAATAAACATTAATGAAAGTCACTGGTGACGGTCTCAACCTGAGTGGTTAGGCTGTGGCTGGGGAATACAGAACCATGAGCAAGTCTGTAAGGAGGCCATGAAGCATGAAAACCACCTCTGTGGGGGTTTTAAATATATTCCGGACTGTAGCCCCATAACACATTGCATGGCAGCTCTGTGGTGGACTCTCTGGGGAATGAGAATCTTAACAGTTCCCGGAAAAAGGGAAGCCATGCTTAGCACATAAACTGAAATTGTATTTGAAAAGGGGTACCTTCAAGAGTACTTTTAAAGAACCAAAGATAAGGGCTGGGTTTGTAGCTCAGAAGAAGAAGGCTTGCCTAGCATGTGTGAGGCCCTGGGTTCCATCCCAAGCCCCTTACCCTCCTTCCCCTTACCCCACAAAAAACTTCAAAGAGATGTAACTGATATAAACTGACATTTTATATATAAATACAATATATATGTGGGATATTACTAAGATTTTATCTTAGAAGTGGAATTTTAGCAGTAAATTTTGCTTAAAGCATTTTGTTTTCTTAGCTAACTAGTATTGTTTACCTCAAGTAACTGTGAGCTGAGTGTTCCAACTCTGACAGTGAACTTTATCATATTATGTGTAAGCCCTTGAGGTACCCTCAGAAGTGGTATTCAAACTCAGTGTACTCAGTTATACTCATACTTGTTACCTGAAACTTACATATGTCAATTGGTTCGAAGGAGCCCTTCTTTCTGCAGAATTCAATTGAAACTCCAAATTTTTGAATAGTTTGATATTAACAATATGTCAGCAAGAGAAACTGTAAAATACAAGTCATAGACACCCTGACCTTGAAAATGAGAGAATCCTGGTTTCACATAATTAAGCATCAGTCATCATTTAATTTTCTTCTACTAAGAAATTCACTGTTTAAAAAAACTTAGGTTTCCCATTTTCATGTTCTAAAATAACGATTGTAGTTGAAATAACCTTGCCCTAGGTTGGAATCTGTACTTCCAAACCAAAAAGGGCTTTGAAGGCAGATCTCTTAAGAAATCCCCTGTGAATACAAACTTCATCTGAACATTCATGTTTTATAATATTAATTAATGCTTAGTGTTGCCCCAGGTCATCTGCAGCAGTGCTGCTATGCAGAGAATGCTGCTGGTGGTAGCTTTTTTCTTTGTTGGCTGTTAATCCAGTAAAGACAGTACGTGACTGTGGCAGTACTTAAAAGTTCTAGCATTAAACAAACTAACTTCCGTGTCTCTCATAGAGGTCATTTTTGACATTTAAAACTCATGCATTTAAAAACCAAGTTCAGATGTGTGTAAACACAGGGTTTATCTTCCACACCCTCCACTGTAGAAGCTATTGAGAAAGTCATGCTTTGGAGATTTTAAAATAAGCCTTTTGTCACTTTTTGTAGCTTGGTATTTTCCCTTCCTATTTTTTTTTTAACCCCCTCCTAAATAAACCTCTTTGTTAAATGACTGCTGTTTCTGAATCATACAAAATAATCTAAACCACACAGAATATTTCCAAGTTAACTACAAACCTGATGACAAATTTTTGAATGTGTACTTTATTTCTTAGTTCCTTTTCGACTCTTGAAAACCTGGCAAGATTCCATGTTTGTATCCCAACTGTGGTAATATTGCTGACTTCTTTTTGGAAAACAGTCTTCTCAGGGAACATTCTTGTGTTAAATGACTGCAAAAACCACATGCATACCCTCTTCAATTTTCCTTCTCTTTTACAGGGGAGTTGGGAGGGGAGGGTGTTCTTTTTCTCCTACCTGGCACATGAGAGAGAATATTTTCTCCAGCTGGGTTCCTTCTCTCTAGTACTCTGACAACCATTTTATATATGAGATCCCTTTTAAATGAAAAATGTTTATAGCACCCAGAGGTGGACCCAGACGCACAACTGGGTGTGTAGTATGTTGTGCTGTGCCCCCTGTGCGTCTGCTTAGCTATTTTGTTACTTGTAGATCATGGTCTAATTATTTCCCGTTAAAGGGATACTAATTCCGTGGGGTGTGTAATCGTATTTATAGGACATTTTATTAGTTTGCATTCCCTCGTGGTAGTGTAGTGATATCATAAATAACAGAAACATAACCTCGGACGCTTGTGAAAGGGTTTCTCTCTCGCAGCCAAGCCATCTTTTACTTGTCATCATTTGGTGTGACAGGGACATACCAGTGTGTGCTTGTGTTTAACGTGGGGTCCCTGCGCATGGGATAGAGAGAGTCCCAGCGTTGTGCATAGTTGGGAGAGAAATGCCCTGTGAATGTGATGCGGTCAGATTTACAGCAGCGTGGCCCCAGCGTGTGTAGCCTCAGTCAGCTGCCCGAGCTCCCCGCTGGGCCGCCCCTTCCTGACAGAACAGCAGCAGCTGGGAAGGTGCTGTTTCAGGCTCTTGCTGTTTAAAAAAAAAAAAAATGAGAGCAAGGGGGAAACTGCACTAAGTCCAGAAGCTGGCATTGGAGGGGGAGAGCGCGGTCATGTGGTTCTGGCCATCCTACCCTCTGTCCCAGTGTAGATGAGAGCTTTTTGCTCTTATCCAATCATGCCTGGAATGCCGCTTGTCACTTGGGCTATTTCTGCTATCTGTCGCTCTTGGTGCCGCAGTGCTAACGGTTTGGCAGGTGGGACACATTTTCTTGGAGTTGGTGTCTTTGGGTTTTGACTTCTGGCAGTGCCGGGCTTGTTGTTGCCTCTCGCCCTCTCCCTCCCGGCCCTCCGGTCACCATGGCCCATCGGCTTCGGTTTCATTTTGGCTCTGGTCGCAGCAACACAGCCCCCGAGTCAGAGATCCTAGACCAGGGGAGAGAAGAAGACTTTTTCATGGCATTCCACACCCTCCCGCGGAGGGGCGGCCCGCACCCCTTCACCCAGAACACAGGGGAGGACGGCGGCGGCCTGCAAGAAGGCGTGGGCGCGCTGAAGCGCAGCACGTCCATGTTCATCCCCCAGCTCCTCACCGGCGTGGACGCGCGCCCCACGCGCAGCTCCTCTGTGCAGATCTCCCTGCAGCGCAAGGCCACCGATGCAGCCACCGAGGGCTGCGGGCCGCCCGAGGGCCCCGATGACCGGCCACCACCTAGCATTGCATCCGACCTCGGCGACCAGGCCATCACCTCCACAGCCACGAGGGCCTCATCTCAGAGTGGCTTGCAGGAGCCCTTGCCAGAGGACACCCCGGAGAGCTCACCACCTAGAGTAGCTCGGGACCCAGGGCCCCAGGTCAACGGCACGTGCGGCCGCCGCGTGCGGTGCCCGGGCCCTGTGGATGGCACGGAGGAAGCCACCCCAGGCCTGCGCATCCAACACCGGGCCTCCAGCGCCGACGTGCGCCAGGTGCGGCTGCTACCCTTCGGCCTCGATGGCCAGGCCACACCTGAGCCCAGGCGCTGGTCCCTGCAACACGTTCCAGATGCTGCTGGAAGCTCTGGGAAACGATGCTTTGTCTTCCAGTTGCAGCAGCCCCATCAAGGTAGTGCTCCAGGGCTAAGCAGTGATTTCAATTTTGGCTTCACAGGCACAAAGGGGGACAGGTTGGTGAGGTATCCCCGCATTCGGCTGGAGAGGAGCACCTCGTATCCTACCCAGCCCCGAGCAGGCCGGGGGAGTCCCACGGAAGAGCGGGGAGCCCCGGAGACACTGCCTCGGGCCAGCCGGATGGCCCCTGAGGTCCGCAGGACGAATTCCATGGAGAGGACTCCGCAGGGTCAAGGCTGCATGTTTAAGATCAGGCAAGATCAAAACGCAGGGCAGCAGCATTTCCGAATTCTTGTGACTCGGGGGCCCGAAGAAGCTCCCCAGAGTCCAGGAGAAGGGACAGCCGACAGTCCCGGTCCCCCTGGAGCGGGCGTCCCGGTAAGTGCGCGTGTGTGTAGTGAGCCAGTCACCTAGAAGGGACGATTCCAACCCAGAAAGCTTATTCTGCAGCGTAGCTTCAGTAAACTCCATCCTTCTCTGAGGGAGTTTCCTTCCCTGCTGCGGGCCCTTGAACCCAACATCTGGATACGTTCAGCGACGGTAATCTGTGATCCAGTATTTTGGTAGAGGTTCACGGAACTACTTAACCTTTTAGAACATATCTTTTCTTTAGGACTTCAAGTCAAAGAGTTCTCTGTTTTGGAAATCCAAGGAAAACACACACTCAATTATTGTTTTAAAAGAATTTCAGTCTATTCCTTAAAATTCCCAAAAACTAAATGAGGGCCCCAACATGTTGATGTTGGAAATGCATTTTAAAAGTTGCTTGCAAATACAGCCGGTGACAGCTTTCCTTTAAAAAGAATCAGTTTTACCTGACAAAGGTGAGAGGATATAGCAACTTTTGGTCTCTTAGTAAGCAACTGTATAAAAAATTTGGTTCTTCCTAAGAGCTGCGGGAGGTTATTAGTCCTTTGTCAGATAATTTATTGTCTTTGATTTGGTAGTACTGAACAAGAAAAGTGTCACCTTTGCAACTGCAAGATATGTGCTTTTGAGGCAGATTGGCTTATGGACCAAAATTAGGGGAAGCTGTGATGGGGATTCATTAGTGGTCAGATTGCAGGGCAGTGCAACCTAACACTGCCCACTTGAGTGTGGAAGCCAAGGATGCTGTATATAGAATAGTAAGTGCCCTGTCTCCAGCTGTGGAAATAGACGCCTTGGAGGAGATTCTGGCTTTATTGCGTAGCTTACTCACTTTCAGTGAAATGGAGCACAGAAAGACAGCTGCTGACTCCACCAGGCCTCTGATGACTCTGCAGCTTTCATGGTTTAGAAGTGGGAAGAAAAGTTGACAATCAGTTAGGTTCTTTTTCTGGTAATCTCTAGCCATTGAGTGTGTTCTACAAGAACAAGTCCTTGGATTTTGAGTTGGATACTTTTTTCCAGAGTTTCATGTGATTACCAGTTTGAGGATGTGATTGCAAAATGTGTGCAGGACTTTTTGTTGGGATTTCACTTGCAGATTATCTTTTGAAAGTAGGTATCTGAGGATTATTTTAGAATTGTATTGTACTTTAATGCTTTGTGTCCAGATGTATTTTTTGTGATTCAAGTAAGCTTTATCACTGCCCATCATTGGTTTTAACCATTTCAAAGATACAACCAAATGCCAACTACAAATAGGATTCTCTTTTATTTTCTTCCATAAGTCCTCTTTTATTATCTCAGACCCATTTATTAGGAGCTGGCTAAGTTCTTTGTCTTGGTTTGAACCCATTCATTCTACTTTTTGTACCATGATACAGATATCAATAGAGTTTTGATAGTATGGTTGCTTTTAACCCCAAGAAGGTATCATTGTGAGGGCTTGTAGGCTTTCGTTCAGACCACCAACCACGTGAAGATTGAAAAAAAATGCATTTACGTTTTGATGACTGTTCAGTTACGTAGACAACGTGCATCATTTTGCAGTTCAAATGTCAAGGACAAATGCATTTGTATGATTAAAATCTCATTTGGTCTGGAGTTTCTAATGAAATTAAGAAATAAATAGAATATACTAAAATTATGTGTATCTTTCAAGTGCTGCTCTATCTTGCAAGATATGTGTTGTGTGGGGAAAAAAATTCTACAAATTCAGAAATCCAAATTATTGAATGAATAGCTTGTCTTGGAGAATAAATTCTATCAAGTGAACAGTTTTCATGCGTATATCTTTGTATGGGCACATAAATTAGTACATGGTTGGTAAGTGGGTTTGAGCAAAAGCTTTTTGTTTTCTTTCAAAACAAAACCAAAACTAGCCGCATAAGAAAACTGTCTGCTCCATTCAGCAACTTCGTAAGTCTTTCATGTGGACCAGGGGTGTTAAGTGTAGGCAGCAGCTGCAAGGCCTTGGCATTGGCTGTGGCCTTATTTATCTTGAAGGAAAACATTCACTTGGGCGTCTATAGTCTGGCTGCCACCAGGCTTTTTTGGCGTTTCAAATATCTGCTGCTTTGGTCAGAATGGCATTTCATTATTAAGTTTATATGCAAAATTAATTAAAATTGATTATAGTCTGGGTTTTGAATGGTATAGAAAAATCTCATTTGATTAGGGAAAACCACTCCAGATTCCTTTTATGAATGTGCTCAAATTTTGTAAGCTCAGATCTTACTACAAAGCAAAGTTGCTGAGTACTTTTATCTGTCTGTGCTTTTCCAACATCCTGCCATGGCCAAATCTAAACACAACATGACTCCAAAAAATGTTAACCAGCTAGATTCTTAGAAAAAATACTGGGAGCCCCATGGGATCATAGATTTCTACCAGGTCAGCCACCATCAAGAAAGCAGAATTGTCCTTTTAGTCATCAGCTAAAATATTTCAGAGGTCATGGAATTTATCTGTTAATCTGTGGCATAATTAGTAGCTATTTAATAGATAACGTAGGTGTTTTCTTACATTAATTTGGGGGTCATTTAGGTTGATTATGAGCCTATTCCCTGCATTGGAGTTGTTCTAAGGAAGTTGGGGCAACCTTTACCAACACACATGCCCCCTTTGAACACTGTTTTGTGCAGAATAGCTGACAAGCTCCACATTTTACAAACCCGAGGAGCCAGCTTTCTAGTTCCATCAATGTTACTAAGTGTTTGAGGTCCACTGTGTATATAACATTACACTAATTCCTTGGAAAGGTTCAGGACTATCTCAATTTCTTGCTGACACAAAGCTTTTGTAACATAAACAGAGGGAGAAAGGCCCACAGGGGGCAGAAACAGGAATTGTCACACCTCCTACTCACACTAGTAGGGAGGGAGTGTCCTTCTTTCCTTCCATCCCAGGCGCTCTGAGCCTTCCTGTGTCCTCTGTGGACATATTCTTCACAGAAATGATGCACCAGTCTTTTGCAAATGAAAATTCATTTTACTGGACAACAAAGGATATCTAAATTATTTTCATCTGGAGAAATTTCAGTTTGAGTGTCTTTTAAAGAAGATGCTTTTATCATACAGAAAAATTTGTATTAATATTTATTGGTGCCTCTTTTTTTACCAAAAAACTCTGTGAAAATCAAATGTATTAGCAATCACTTTTCTTTGAAAATTCAGCAATGACATTGTAATGGGTAAGAGAAAAAGGCATCATATTCCTTTCATTGATTTGTTTTCTGACTGGATTTTATAAGCTTTTTTTTTCCCTCCCAGATATTATAATCTCTCTTCGTGTGGTCATATATGAAATAACATTTTACTAAAAATTTCATCTGCTTTCAGGGATATTTTAAAAGGTTGATGTAGGCAGTGCACAGGGTTGTCACCAGTTTGTATTTGTCAACTTCCAAACACCCAGGACTTGCAGTGATACCTCATGTTTTAGTATTTTACCATTTGACAAGTGCTTATGTTTATTTCACTTAGAGTGTGTGACTGTCCCCTTGAATAGGCATCATCTCACTGGGCTTCACAACAAGCATGTGAAGTAGTGTTATTTCAGGTGAAGGTATGTAATGTTGACATTAGGTGTAATAACATTGTATGTATGTCATGGCAACCTATGTATGCATGATGGTATATGTGTGTGTGCATGTTTGCATAATTAAGCTAAAAGGCAATTTTAATGTTTCTTGTGATGGACATTGTTGCTGAAAAGTTTAGCAATGACTCTGTTTGGCACCTTTTTAGCACTGGCCTAACAGGGAAGGTTTTGAAGACTGAAGAGCCAGGGTTGGCAATTTACAGTCTTCGGGTTCTAAGGTAGATACACTCCCTCTTAAGTCTGCTCTCTCATGAGTAAAGTGTGATAAAACTGTCCAGCTTCCCTGGTTTTGGCATCACTCTCCCCTCAAAAAACGCCACTTCTAGTTTTCTTGTTAGGTCTAGATAAGGGAGCCCCTGTGGAAGTACCTGATGGATGAACCAAATGCACAAGTCTTCCTCTTGAGTACTTTGTTAACTGTGAGCATCCATTTTTGGTCAGCATGGCATTAAACACAAGGACTTCATGCGTTTATGGCATCCTTGGAAATGTTGACTTTAGTAACTAGCTCTGATGTCCTTTCTGTTGTCACCTGGTCTTCCCTAACCGTCTGTCTCTTAGCACTGCTCTAGGATGAGGCAGTTCTTGAAAAGAATTCATTTGCAAGCCACATAATATAGAAAAGAACCTTTGATTATATTAGAAATGTTGACAATTTGAGATCTTACAAAGTTCTGGCCACATTTCCTATCTATTTTTTTTAATAGGTCAGTTTGCTGTAATACATTTCCAGGGGTTAGGTTTATTAGTACTCCTTATAGGCTAAGGCTTTTGAGAAGCAGTGTCACGCTGTCTGTATGAAATGTTCACATTGTGGGATTTGAGAATTCTGGAGATACTTGGGAATATACCTTACTAGATACTGCCTTCCAGAGGGTTTGCACAAAAGACGCAGCTGCTTTGCTTGGCCAAGCCTAGAGGCAGAGTTCCTAGTCATTGAATTAAATCTCCAATTTTATGGTACATATTAATAAAAACAATTCTCTATCTCTACATAACAGTTCATAAGGCCAGAAGAAATTTGTCCCATGTGAAAATTATCTTACAATTTTATAAATGTTGGATGCTTCTGTTTAGTTGATGGATATTTTTGTGTAGTTGAGATTAAATTATAATGCTACTGGATAACTTGAAATCATCAAGCAGATTTTTAAAATAAAAATAATTAACTGTGTATTGTTATTGGCAAGAGAGATTAGCTAAAATTTCTAAACACATTTTTTTCCTTTTGATTCTTAATTACACTACATTTCAATAATAATATAATAACATTTTCAATAATGGAAAAAGTGAAATTCATAGATGTTATAATTGTTGATTGAGTGGTACCAGAATGTCTGTAAATACCAAAAAAAATTGAGGATTCCCATCCAGAATTGCCTGGTAATTACTCAAAAGTTTATTATCCT